ATTATATATAACGATACGCTCGATATTAACGATATTAACTTCTATACTAAGATAAGTTATCGTAATTATTATCCGGGTAGTAGAACCCGGCTAGTAGAACTCGGTATATCTATAGCGGCGGTCGGTATCTACTACGATAAAATTATACTTCTTAATAATATTAGTAATTATATACTCGTCGTCCCCTTGGTGCGAATACTACTAATATTTCTATAGAAGGGCCTTCCGTAAGAACGCTACTATATACGGAATAGTAATAGTCGAATCGATAAAGACGACCGTCTTTAGAATTATCTATAGCGTATATTTATCTAGAGTAATACTAGAGTCTAGAAGAAAATATAGTAATATAAAACTCTTAATCTAGCTACGAGAAATAGGGCGTATATAAATAGTAATATCCGAACGATTAATAGACGTCTTAATAATCTATATCTAGTATAGACGCTCGCCGACCGGACGAAATCCGCTATACTAGAGAGCCGCCGCTTTAGCCTCTTTATATAATATAGTCGAATATCTAAACTAGATAACGTTCTTATAGAGCTATAATCTTAAGTAGTCTATTTCTAGAAACGCGGGTCGGAAGCCCTTAGTAGAGAAGTCTATATTAGTAGATCTACCCTATTAATAGATAAGATAGTACTCGTTAATAGTAACTATATCTATCTTATTATAGTCGTTTAGCTTCTCTAGTATACGTTAGAACTAGTCCTAGATAGCCTACTCTAGACTTAATAATACGTATATATATATACTAGCGGCGATATCGCGTATTAGCGTAGCATTCTTACGCTAGAAGTTAACGATATAAGACTAGATTCCGTTTAGCTACTAAATACTATCGAGTTATTCGTTCCTAAGCTAGATTAACGGGATAATTTAAATAGTAATCTTCGCCGTTAAGATTAAAAAGATATAGAAGATTATACTCTTACTAAACCTAGTACGCGCGACGAGTATAGTATCTTTATAACTAAAGATTAAGCGTCGAAAAATACGAGTCTATTCTTCTCGAGGCCTACGCCCTCCGCTAAGGATACGCGTAAGGTATATCTTAAGAACCTTAATCTATAGATTAGAATATAGCTTAGCCTTATTTACGACGTCGGGTAGCCTATCTAACGGAAGCTAAGAAATCGTTAGAATTATACTAGTAAGTAAACTTCTAAGAGACGATAGTATAGATACTATTCGTTACTACTTAGACTTTCTTCGTCTCTTATTACCGTTATTACTCTTCTTCTTACTACGGCGTATATCTCTAAGAGTAATACTACTTAGTAGTTAATTAGTAAGTCTTCGTAGTTAGGTTTCCCGCTAAATATATATAGATTCTAAAGATAATACCGCTTAGTAGTTACTTAGTAGTTAGACCTCTCCGGTAAACGCGGGTAAAATTAAGAGAACTACTACTTAGTAGTTACTTAGTAGTTAGATCTCTTCGATAAACGCGGGTAAAATCTAGAAAACCGCTACTTAGTAGTTACTTAATAGTTAGAGTCTCCGGTAAACGCGGGTAAAACCGGCTAAGCCGTAGGCGAGATAAATAGCGAGACTTCGGCGGGAATAAGAAGCTTTTTAGAGAATAACGAGACCTTAACGGGCGGAATAGCGATAGAAGACGAGATAGAGAGAGTTACTAGATAGAGCTTAAAGATATAAGCTACTAATAGAGCCTTAAGATATAAGCTACTAATAGAGCTTTAAGATAAGAGCTACTAGTAGAGCTTCTAGATAAGAGCTACTATTAGAGCTTCGAGATAAGAGCTATTATTAGAGCTTCGAGATAAAAGCTACTAGTAGAGCTTCGAGATAAGAGCTACTAGTAGAGCTTCGAGATAAGAGCGGATAATCTAATCGTAACTAGACGAAGAAACCGGATAAGAGATAAAAGCTAAAGTAAAACGTCGATTAGAATAGTAAGCTCCTTCGATAGTAGCGAGACCTTAGCGGGAGAGAGCGAGATAGAAGAGATAGAGAATATCGGCGGAAATAGTAAGCTTCTCTAATAGTAGCGAGACCTCGACGGAAGAGAGCGAGGTAGAAGAGATAAAAGACGTCGATAGAGATAGTAAGCTCCTTTAATAGTAGCGAGATCTTAGCGAGAGAGAGCGAGGTAAATAGCGGGACCTCTACGGGCGAAATAGTAATAGAAGGCGAGGGGAAAGACGATCGTCGCCCGTATCTTCTAGAGCTAGACCTTAAGTTCTTTCGTAGACGTAGGGGTCGCGCTAGTTACGCTCGAGATAATATTACCGATTATTATTAAGAAGGGAAGATAGACCTCGATAGATAGAGAAAAGATAGACCTTAATAGATAAGAAGAAAAGATAGACCTCGATAGATAAGATGCTAATAGCTAAGCCGGTAGTAATTATAAGCTATTTCTTAAATATAGTAGGTAAAGGTAAGATAATACTCTACCACTATAAGAAATACTACTTACTACTTAGTAGTTACTTAGTAGTTAGAGTCTCTAATAACTATAGGCGAAATTAGAGAAATACTACTTAGTAGTTAGCTAGTAGTTAGATTCTCTAACTACTACGGCTAACTACTACGACGAAGTACTAAGAAATACTACTTAGTAGTTACTTAGTAGTTAGATTCTTCGACTACTACGGCTAACTACTACGACGAAGTACTAAAAAATACTACTTAGTAGTTACTTAGTAGTTAGATTCTCCGACTACCGCGACTAACTACTACGACTAACTACTACGACCGACTACTATAACCGACTACTACGACCGACTATAGCGACCGACTATAACGATAAACGCTACTTAGTAGTTAGTTAAAAGTTAGAATCTCCGACTATCGTAACCGACTAGAGCGAGAAATACTACTTAGTAGTTACTTAGTAGTTAGATTCTCTAGTAATTACGGGTAAAAATAAGGGGAATACTACTTAGTAGTTACTTAGTAGTTACTTAGTAGTTTAAGTTCCCGCTAGATACGTATAAATTTCGAGGATAAGCTATAATAATAGTACCTCTAGTTTAACTAAAGTACTTTATAATAACGCCTTTTTTTACGTAAACGGATAATACGAGGTATTTTAGTAGTACTTTATTACTCTTAGTATATATATTTAGAGATAGTTAGAGTATTATATTATATATACGAGCGATAAAGCGGAGGGTATAGTAAGTATAATAGAATTACGTATTCTTTTTACGTCTTTAAGGCTATATATTAATATAACTTAGCGTAGCTATTACTATTAATTCTAGACTAGTTAAAAGCCTATATTTTAAAGAATCGCTATAGGTATACGCGCTAACGAATAATAACGTAGTTATAAAGTAATATTAAAGTAAACGATTTAGGGTATAATAGATATACGTAAAGTTAGGCCTAAATATACTTAGACGCTTCGTAGAGGGACGATCTAATAATACGACGCTAAAAGGCTTAGCCTAGCTTTAATTAGTGTACTATTGTGACTAATTGAGGCCCGTGCGAAGCGGCTGACCCGTGAGATAAGGGTGACGCGCTAAACGCCGCCTCTCCACCCTCGACGCTGATCCCAACACAGTACATACATAATCCACCACGGTTACGGTATCCTCGGCATCCCAACGATTCCCACAGCAAGCCGTGCACGACTGTACTTATGTCAGCAGAAGGAACGCATGCAGGACGCATCCCAATACCAGGTGCATGCACTGCCAACAAAACCTTATTCTTTCCTGCCGTAAGCACATGGGCAATTCTTGCTAGACTTGCTAGATGCATTCCACACTGCTCAGAATGCATTAGGTATTGCCGACAGTGAGGCATTATCGTCGTCGTGGCCATGAGGCTCCGCGGCCTGTTTCAGTAATCATAAGCCGAAGCGGACGCACTTTGATATCAGGAGGCTGTGCTGCGCTGCTAAGCCACTGCCGTGTCACTACAGTAACCTCTCCGTCAACATGGAAGGGCGCCGCCATGTCTCGGGAGCCCGGCGCCGTTATTACGCATCCGCTCAGCTCGCATGGCCAACTCGCACCAACGCCTTCCTCTCTGGACAGAGGAGGTGTATACTACTGACCGCCTGGAATAATTCAACCACCAGCCAATCCCGGGCTTGCCGGACAGCGGTTGCACAACCTTATTTCCACTGCTGCACCCCTTCCAGCTCCCCTCTCTCGATCCGCCTTGTCCACGAGCATCCTCGAATGTCTGAGCCCTAGATGCTCGCCAGTGTCGGCCAATAGGAGCAGAGGCAATAACACGCTGGGCGCATGGCTGCCGTCAGCTGGTCGAGGCAGGCGCGTCTGCCGTCGAGGTAAGCAGCAACACGCCGGAATGCTGAAACAGCCGCGACGGAGCATGATCGTCACGAGTTGCCTGGTGCGGCGGCGGCATGGCCGTCGATGGCAAATGGACCCGCCCTGCGCCCTGGGGGCCAATCGGCCTGGCCGACGCCCATGCGCTAACCGCCCCCGATTGCCTTCCAGAACATCCGCCACGACCAAACCACCGCCCTCATGCCTCCTTTCTTCACCCGCCCGCCTCGGTCACCGCTGAAAGCTGCCGTCCTTACCGTCAATGCCCGGTGGGGACGGCCGTCGTCCTTCCGAAGAAAGCAAAGTCTGGATAAACTCCGTGCTTGTCAGGGTCGGTCCAGCTGACACGCGGCCGAAAGCAGCCTTACCGCCGCCATGGCTTCATCATCCTCGCCCGTCTAAGCTTTCTTTTTGTGTGGGGGACCGACTGTGCATCAATTCTTGATATCATCCGTGCCCCGTCTCACACGCCCTGCCACACCTCAGCCGTCATCACCCCGTCGCCCTCTGCGCTTTTGTCCGAATGTATACGCAATAGGAATACGGCCCTCTATCCAATCCTCCCCACCTGAAATTTGACGCCCGTCGGCCTCACCGTTAGCCCCTCCCTTACCTGTGCAAGAGCCTCATCTCCCACCCGCGCGGTGACGCCGAGTCGAGTCCACTAATATAAAGCCTCCGCCGTTTCCTCTCGCTGTCGTGCCGCCGTCGCAAGTCAACATGTTGCTTTCAATACTCCTCTCCCCGGTCGTCCTCTTCGCCTCAATCACCACCCTCCTCTACCTCGTTTACCGCTCCATCGCCCTCTCCCTCGCACGCCGCCGCTTTGCCCGCGACCATGGCTGCCAACCCGCCGCCGCCCTCAAGATGCGCGACCCTATCCTCGGCCTGGACGTCCTCCTCGCCAGCATCACAGCCGGAAAAGAGCACCGCCTCCTCGACATGCTGACCGCCCGCTTTGCCGAGACGGGCAGCGAGACCTTCACCTCCAAACGACTGGGCGCGCCTGCACTCATGACCATGGCCCCCGCCAACGTCAAAGCCATCCTCTCCACGCGCTTCGACGACTTTGCCATCGGACCGTTCCGGCAGCCCGCACTGCACGGCTTCCTCGGCGACGGCATCTTCACCACCGACGGCAGCCACTGGGCCGCCTCGCGCGCCATGATCCGCCCCAACTTCGTCCGTGACCAAGTCGCCGACCTCAACGCCTTCGAGTCGCACATCGAGGACCTGCTGGCTGCCATTTCGTCCGCCACCGCCAAGCAGCCGTTCTTCGACCTCCAAGAGCTCTTTTTCAAATTCACCATCGACTCGGCCACCGAGTTCCTCTTCGGCAAGAGCGTCCGAAGCCTCCATCCCAGTAGCGATCATGGCAACGCAGAGGCCCGCTTCGCGGAGGCCTTCACCGCCGCCCAGGCCGAAGGCCTCGACCTGATCCGCCTCGGCCCGCTGGCGCAGCTCGTCGGGTCTAACCGCGCGCGCATCAGCACGGGCGAGCGCGCCGTCGATGTCGTGCACGCCTACGTCGATCAGTTCGTCGACGAGGCGGTGCGCTTCCGGGAAGAGGAGGACAAGAAGAAGAAATGGGAAGCAGGTCGTCGAGTCGCCCCCGGCACGGACAACGGCGTCTTCTCGCAGGAGAAGCAAGAGGACAGCTCCAAGGACGAGAAGAAATACGTCTTCCTCCACGAACTGGCCACGCGCACAACCGACAAGCACCGCCTGCGCTCCGAGCTCCTCAACGTCCTCCTAGCCGGCCGCGACACCACCGCCAGCCTCCTCGGCAACCTCTTCTTCGTCCTCGCCCGCCAACCCGACGTCTGGCGCAAACTCCGCGCCGAAGTCACATCCACCCTGCACGGCCGCCGCCCCACGTACGAAGAGCTCCGCAACATGAAGTACCTGAAATGGTGCCTGAACGAATGTAAGCCCGCCCCGTCCTTACCTATCTACCCATCCCACCATCATCCCCAGCTATGTAGCAATCCCCCGCGCTAACCACCCACCCGTCCGGGGTCCGGTCCAAACCAGCCCTCCGCCTCCACCCCGTCGTCCCCCTCAACACGCGCATCTGCACCGCCGACACCATCCTCCCCACCGGCGGAGGCCCCTCCGGCCGCTCCCCCATCTTCGTCCCCCGCGGCACCATCGCCTCCTGGAACCTCCACGCCATGCACCGCCGCCCGTCCGTCTTCGGGCCCGACCCCACAGCCTTCCGCCCCGACCGCTGGGAACGCCTCCGCTGCGCCGGCTGGGAGTACCTCCCCTTCAACGGCGGGCCCCGCGTCTGCGTCGGCCAGCAGTACGCCCTCACCGAGGCGGCGTACGTCGTCGTCAGGCTCGCGCAGGAGTTTGCGGAGCTCGTGCCGCGCGATCCGCGCGAGGAGTGGCGCGAGCAGCTGGCGTTGACGCTGTGCGCGGGCGGCGGCGTGTGGGTGAGGTTCGAGAAGGGGGAGGCCGGGGCGGGGACGGAGGCGGAGGCGGAGGTGTGAGGTGTGAGGTCTGAGTGGGGGAAGTCTTGGGCGTGGGTCGGGTTTATCCTGCCTTGGTAAGCTAAGTGAAAATGCGGGAGGCAGGGAGGGAGGGAGGGCTCCTCAGGTAAGGGGCAAGCTCCGCTACGTGTTTGTGTCTGTCTGTCTGTCGGTTGTTGGGTTCGTGTCGATGTATATACCATACCTGTCGTCTTTTCTTTCCTTTTTCCCCCGCTCTCTCTCTCTCTCTCTCTTTCATATATTCGAATCCCTACGCGCTGGGGATCGAGATACACGTATGTACTTACAGACGCGGACTCGCGGAGGCGCGCTTGGTATAATATGGTGGGTGGTCATCGTCATGGCTTTGCTTTTTTTTTTTTATCTTCGTCTTCACTTACCCTTGTTATAGAGACGTCTCATGACCATATATGAAACAAGCAAGAAGAATCAAATCAAATAAAGAAAACGATACCAATCACATGCATGGGTCAAGTGGTTGGAGCAAAATGGATACTTCAAATTCGACAGCTAATGCTATCCTCGGTACCTTTTTCGTCAATGTCGCTTTGCCATAGAAGCCACTAATTTCTTGCCATCCCTTGCGTACCTAACGCCGCGTGCTGCGAAGATATGGGCTGCGAGACCATGACTTGACGCTAAATTACACAAAACAGCCGAAAATGGGGTTCCCCCATGACGCCTTCACACCTATGCCATCACTCCGTTGACCAAAATTTGCAAATGAAGCCCAAAACAGCAACGATTTCGCTACCCTTTACTGAAACCCAGAAGATGCCGTGCAACGCGTCGTGGAACACGCATGTTGCATCGAGAACGAGGTGTGACGTCGGACACTTACATTCGCACCTGGAAGAGGTACCGGAGTCGAATTTGAGCCACGTCGTAGCAGATGAACTCGTTGTACTGCAGGAAAGCGCCCGGGACATTGGTCTTTCCAGGCTGGATGCTGACGTCCGGCATCTTGACACCAGCGAGGGAGGGGTGGACACAGTCGGCATCCTTCCAACCCAGCGGTGCTGTCATTCCCTTGCCCCAAGTTGACCACATACCCTTGGACTTGGCATTCTCTCCCGCGTTGTAGTCGGAGTTCGTCAGTTCATTCAAGGGATTGCCGAGCTCAGCCTCGCAAAGCAAAAGCAGAGCCGTGCCACCCGAAATGTAGGAACAGCAGTAATTGGCCGATTTGGATGACATGTCAGCGAGGTAGATTCCCTTGCCGAACATGTAGCCGCTCACTGGGGCTTCGGGGGGTGCAATGCGCAGGCCTTGGCTGAGAATGCCTCCGAAGTTAGTAGCACGAGAACCGTGCCATAGAAGACGTCGGTCGCGGACCGGACCAGCATACTGGCTCTTGCCGAAACGGTCATTTTCGCCTAGACGCTCGATGCGAAAGATGGAGTCGACCGTGTAATTCACCCCGTGCGTGTGTCCACGGGTGCTTGTGAGGTATGCTGCAAGCTCCTGGAACTCGGTGCTCCTCCTATCGAGCGGCGTCATCTCCTGCATGCCCAAACCCCTGTACTGCTTGTCCAGAGTATGCAAGACTTCGCCGTTTGCCGATTCGTCCTTCATGATGTTCGATGCATCCTTCATGTCGGCCAGGTTTTCCAAAAGCTCAATCTCGCGCTTGAGAACATCCTCGGAGCGTATAACGGGCGGGCGGTTACGACGAAAGTCGTGTGGGATAAGTGAGTAGAAGAGATTGGACGCGTCTTCGATATCCGATGCGCTGGCAGGCACTGAGCCGTTGATCATCTCCGAGAGGTCCTTGAGGCTCTGAAAGCCCTTCATGATGGTGGCCTTGCTGAGCTTTCCGAGGGGCAGCTTCTTCGAGTCATAATTGAGCTCAGTCATTGCGGCGGCAAAGAACTGCGTGTTGAAGATGAGTTGCATCAACTTCTGGATAGGAAGTGCAAGAGTGCAATCGGGGCCCTCGCCATCCTTCTCGGTCTTGACGCCCTCATCTTCCTCCTCATCGTCCGACTGGTAGCTGCGCTCAATGAAGACATACTTCTTGGGCTTGGGAGGAGCTGTGCGGTCCTCCCAGTGCAAGCCAGACTTGTCTTTGAATTTCGCCTGAAATTGGCGTTTCGCATCGTCAAGCGATCCGTTGCCGAGGGCCTTCATCTGTCCACGTTCGCCGACTCGGCCCCATCGGCTCCAGGTGACACAGTTTCCAGAGGCACTGCCCAGGACCTGGAATGAGTTAGTATAATGCGATGCTCAGAAGATGGTTCATCTGCAGCAATCGAGCAAGAAAAGTCACCAAGTGCGTACCTGGAGTCTGTAGAACTTGTTGTTGTTGTTTCCAGAGTTCGTTTGGTTCAGAGAGGCATCCCAGATGACGCCATCAGGGTCAACGTGAACGCCGTAGCCAACGAGGTGGCATTCTTCATCCAGGGGAATCACGATGTCTCGCGATTTGGCAATCTGACCCTCGCCAAAGTTGGGGATGACTTCTTTCTCCAAACCCTTCTTCTTCTTGGAGTCGTGCTGATCGGCAGAGGTTGCGTCGGCGTCGGGGGAAGCCTGGCGCTTCTTGGAGTCCTTGGCTTTCTGAGCGGCGGTTCCTTGAGATGCAGAGGGAGCTGAAGCGGGGTTGGGGCTGGGAGTAACATTGCGGAAGGTGTATTGTGTCTCGTCTGCTTTCGCATTGGATTGCTCTGAGTCCAACAGCCACTCCAGGCTCACAAGGAAGATGTCGCGGTTCAGGGCTTCCTTCACCTTGCTCGAGAGTTTGTCGAAGTCAGCCTGAGTGGTGACGAGATGGGTGGCGTCTTTGGTCACGGATTTGGCAGTGGCGGCTCCCAAGCGAGCGGCTTGGTCGAGGAGAGCGGACTGCGAGTGGCCTGGGAAGGTGCCGCTGAAGACGACACAGCAGCCGTCCAACGGGGGTGCGGCAGGTGCGGCAGGTGCGGCAGCTTTCTTTCCTCGCTTTGGCGGCATGGCGACGATGATGGAGATGGAGATTGCTGCAGAGGCGAAGGAACGGGTGTAGATATATCAGTTGCTGTGGAGGGGAACCGTGCGCAGAGGCGTCTCCAAGCGGCAGGCAGCCACAGTCGCTTTGGGCAACTCTACAAGGACGCTTCTGCCGCGACGACCGAGTCTCTGTTGTATGACGCAGTCTCAGCAACGGCAATTGGGCTTCGTACAGGCAATTGGCTCACCTCAGGCTCACAATGGTTGCGGCTTGTCGTGGAAGTTGCGGCGGCTTGTGTGTCGGGGTGGTTGTTGGGTAGGATTGGCGCGGGCGGCGAGTAATTAATCGGCGCCTTCGCCAAGACGCTACGGGAGACAGTGCGCCAACCACGCAGGCACGGCAGGCAGCAACCGCCTAGTTGGGAATAGTCGAGCGCGTCTCGACGCGTCTGCCCTCTACTCGCGCGTTCACGCGGGCTGATCGCTAGGCAGCAATGCCCGCCAGCCAGGCATCACAACATCACCAGGCAACAGCGGCCACGACTTCTGCCAGACTACTTTCCGCGCTCTTGCCGACCGACCTCACCTTCCTCACCTTCCTCACCTTGCCTCTCATCTCTCTGCACCACAAGTCCGCTCCACCATCCAACAAGATGGACCTCCAAACAGAGTCCTACATCGCCAATCTCCCGCAGGAGCTGGTCGACCGCATCGTCGACTTCCTGCCCACGGCTGACTTGGGCTCCCTCCGTCGCACCTGCAAGCTCATGGAGCACAAGCTCTTCACCTACTTTTCCAAACATTACTTCACCAAGAAGCAATTCATGGTCACCGAAGCCAGCCTGCATGCCTTGGTTGACATCTCAGAGCATCCATCCCTTTCGCCTTGTCTCAAGCACCTCATCATTGGCCTGGACCGCTACAACGGTCGGACCAGGGACATGGCCGACGAAGCGGCCTTCACAGAGTACAAGGAAGCCTCCGAGTCACAATCGCGCATGTTCACCACCGGTAGGGCCGCGAGCCTGCTGGCCAGGGCTCTGAGTAATCTCAAAAGCCTCCAAACGATTGATCTCAGGGACTTCAACTCGATGACGCGGTACCGAGACAGACAGACAGGCACTGGTGCATGGAGAAGTTGGGGTGCCCCTACCCTCCAGGCTCGAGGACATGTCTTGACGATGAATGACTCGGCAATGTATGACGGTAGGGGCAAGTTCTTCTACACTCGAGTCTTCCAAGTCGTTCTCGCTGCCATGGCGGGTTCGTCTAGCCGACCAGAGGCTCTCATGGTCACGCTCAGGAACAGAATCCGAGGCTTGTCTGATAGTGCCTTTGGTCTTGATGATTGGATGCAGCGAGACATTGCACCTGCTTTGGCCGGCTTGAAAACCCTTCATCTCGACCTCTCTCCCGACGACCCTCCTCGATATGGACTGGTGCAGAGCCAGAGCAACTCACAGGATACCTTCGACCCACAGAACACCAGCATCAGGCGTTTCCTTTCCCACACTCCAAATGTCACCTGGCTTCGGCTGAACTTCCAAAGCGCGCATAGGGATTCGAGCTTGAGACTCATCAACTGGCTGGCCACTGTACCTGGAACAGATCCGACTGCGAGGATTCTGCCCTGGGCTGGACTGGACACTGCCGCAGGACGTCTTAGCCCGCTTCCTTGGTCTGACACCAATCCTGCCCCCGTGGCATTGCCACTTACGCAATTGGATCTAGGCATGGTCTACATTAGCACCAATGTAGTGACAGATCTCTTTCAAAAGTTCAGCAACCTCAAGGGACTGAGCTTGTTCAACACGAAGCTGTATCCAGCGTCCCGCATCCATCCTGGACGTCGCGTCAACTTGTGGGCTGATTTACTCAAAGATTTATCGGCCAATATTCCTGCGAACCTGTGGTCGTTGAAACTTCGCAACCTGACCCAAATCAACACGGAGAAGATACAAAACCCCGACCTTCTTGTCGAATTCGATGGTCGGCCTGAAAGAACCATTGAGGTTTCGAAGAAGAGCTTGGAACAGCTGGCGGAGACTGTCACGCCCCGCTGGCCGCCGGAACTCCCGCACATGCATCATGATGATGGTGAAGATGAAGATGAAGATGGAGATGAAGATGAAGATGGAGATGGAGATGGAGATGGAGATGGAGATGAAGATGGAATGGAACAGAACAGCGAGGACGTACAGATATTGCTATGATAGCTCATTATTTGTATTGCTAGGCCGTGGCTCAATTCATTAAAGAAATCCACAGAAGTAATGATGTACTACTTGCCTGCCTACGGTTATCAAATATCTCGGCTGCTGATGGAGCGACAGGCATACGTGGTGGTGGGAAATACATGCATGTGCGTACAGCTGCACGTTGGGCATGGCCGGCGCCGCGGTCCCCGTTGGTGAAGCGGGGGCCAGAGTCTTTAAAATAATCTGGGCGACTGCCAGCAACGTCGCTCTGTGAGATTCGGCCACGGACCTCTTTCCTCGGAATCGTTCCCCCACGGACACAGGGAGACTGTTTCGCCGAGTGAGAGTGAAAGTCATACCGGTTCGGTCCGCTTTCGGCCGTCCGTTGCGACGGCCCCCCGACGCCTTCTCGTCACAGCTTTTGAACAGTTGACACGATGGGCAGATGATCTTGGTGACGGTGGATGGCTGGACGGAGGGGCGGTGTTGCGGTGCGGCGTTATGGTCTTGGTGATGGGCGCCATCATCGCGCTGCAGTGGTGATGAGGGGGTTTGACAACGATGTGGGAAGACGAGAATGACGGATTTGCCGCCTGCCGCTGCCGGAGTCGGGAGGAGCAGGAGATTGTCCAAGCTTGTCTCGACACGGCAAACACGTTTTGAGTGATGCGGCTGTCGTAGGCTGTTCTGCGAACCGTTGAGGAGAGAAAAACGGAAGAGCGGCGCTATACACGTGCGCTGAGTGGTGAGCAGCGGGCGACGGGTGATGCTGGTCAGGTGTGACTGTTCGCGTTGCGCGTAAGCCATATTTCCCACTGCCCCTCCCGCCTCTTTGCTTTTGAGAATACGTGCACTTCTCCTCCGTCAAGGCAAGAGAGGCCTGATGAAGTTATACCCAGACTGTCCCGTGGAAGTTTTGATCAAAAAACGGTGATTTGGAGCCAGGCCGTGTTCAGACACTGGGTTGAATGACGACGGCAAGGTGTGGTAATGGTGGTAGGATTGAAGGACTAATGATACGGTGTAGTATTGAAAGTTGGTGATGGACGACATCATTGATTTATGACGGCAAGTGTCGTAGACGAGACTGCGTGGGTTAGGAGACTATGGGCCTACTAGCGAGACAACAAGAACGGAGGGGAGTGGCCTGGTTCTGTGAATCAATAGCAAAAAGCCATTCGCACGGATCCTGGCTCATCTTTACCAGAACAGCTGCTACGGTGGCGTGTACGGAGTAGAAGCAGAAGAGTGGAGTGGCGCTCATAAGCAAGCGTAGTCATGGGCAGGGGGTGTAAAGAAGAGAGTCAGGTGTGAGCGTAGAGCCACATGGGCACGTGGGTGACTCCGGTACCTACAACCTTCTTTGCGCGTGTGATATTCTCGACCCCAACCATGATGTGTCGCCTGCAATTACCACCTCTCACACCCAGCCACTCCAACGGCGGGGCTGGTCCAAGGATGACGAGGCGTGGAGATAGCGAAGGGGAGGACGGATTGTCCGGATTGGGGACCCGAACAACTGCGGCGGGTGTGGGCATCTGGCATATACTACCGTGGAGACTGCTTCACGCCGCCGGGTATCCAGATGGTGAAGAATAGATGATCAAGGGTTGTTTCTTTTTTAATGTAAAGCGGCATGTGCTTCGGTACGCGTTGTAATCTTCAGTTTGATCCGTGAAACGCGAAACTGCTTCATTTCTGATCCGACAAACCCTCTAGCCTTGTAACATCATTGCAATCATGGTCATCGTAAAAGTATAAACACCGTTACTCCAAGAAAATTGTTCTCCACGGCAATTCAGCCCGTCCCGCTTCCTCCAAAACACAACCTTTGAAGCATCCGAGAAGGTCTGCGTAATCCGGGGCGCATTTTGGTCCTTTGATGCCATGCAGGTAGCATTCGCCAAGCACCTCGAATCTGTCGGCTTCGGAAGTTCTGCGCCGGAGTAGGTATGGTACAGTGCTACCAAACACCACAGCGATGATATCGCCGACTCTGAAGTTTGCTGGAAGAATTGCAAGGGACCTCTCCGTTAGCGCTACTTTCCGTCCGGCTGCAAATGCTCGTATGGTTTCCAAAGTAGCGCCATGTCCCACTTTGCTCAGGTCCTGCGCAAAGTCCTGCTGGAAGGTTGAGTACGGGACGTCCACTTCCCCCTCAAATAAGAAAGAAGTGTGCCACAATTGGATTCTTTCGCCAGGTTTGCGATGTGTACTTGAGACTTTGTCAACGAATACGGCCATGACCTGCAGAGAAGGCTTTGGATAATCGCTAGTGCTTGGCTGGAAACGTGCAACCGGTCCTGTTGAAAATTTATCCGGTTTGCAGCGGGCGAAGGACGAAATGCGTGCATGATGGCGGAAATCAAGTACCCAGGACGGCAAAGCCAAGTCTTCATCATCCAGCCCCTCGGCGTTTTCCTGTGGCGACTTGGTGCGCCCAAAAAGGTACTCTGGAACAAGAAGCGTCCCGTGCTTCTCCATGATCGCTTCAAGTACCTCCTTTTTCAACGAATAGATATGATTAGCCTCAAGCAACCTGATCCTCTCCACCGATTGTCTGTAGTATCTCCGTCTGAGTATCCTATCTAACTCTGGGTCCGGATCATAAGTCATTTTATTGAACACCGAAAAGGCTTTTTCAAATCCTGCTCGCATGTCATTGAAGAATCGCACCCAATCTTCAAATACGATGGATTTGAAAGCCGACTTGTCGACGTAGTTTGTGATACGGGAGTCAATTTTTTCCCAAAGAAGTCTCCAGGTTCGCATTCTAGAAGTGCGGCACTGTTTACTCGAGCGTAAAGTAGAGGGGGTCTTCATCAATTCATCATGGAATGGTTGAACCGCTCTCAGAAATTCCAATTCCATGTCTCTAGCATCCGGGAACGTCGAAACAGCGTCTGGACCAAGTCCAGCTATTTTGGGTTGGCCAGTATCAGATAGGAAGTCCAAGCAGTTGTCTTTTCTAAGAAACTGAAGGGTGACATCAGTGTAAAGTTCCCGAGCCGATTTGTTATAGTCGGGTGTCACGTTGATGCCAGCTCTTTCGTCGACCAGGCCGAGTAGAGCATAGATTCTGTCCAGAGGGTCACCGGATAAACAGCTGCGGGCCATTGCAAGGAGTGAGGCATGGTCTTTCAGGGGTTTCGTATCAGCGTCCGACAGCAAGAGGACCGGAGGAACCCTCTTCCTCAGGTCGGTTGAGCCTAAGCCGACTGCTTGAATGTTCGCAATCGATAGGTATTGCCAGTTCAGAGATTCCGTACCAATAACGATGATAGCCCTGCTGGCGGCAACAACTTCTTGTAGAACCCAAATCCGGGAAAACCATGGTAGAGATAGTAGCTTAGCCATTTGTTTCCGATGTGTCCTGCAGGCAGACGCAGTCGTGCGCTTGCGCAGTAGGTCTAAAAGCCTTTCGGTGTTGCCCGAGGTGTCCATGTGATGGAGGTGTATCAGTACACACTTCGCTCCAGCATATATCTGGGGCATCAGTGGGATTTGGTGATTCTTCTCTTGCTTGTCTGCCTGCGCGATGCAGACGCAATCTATCCAGAGGACTCGCTCGTCTTCGGGATACCTCAAGGCTGTCAGAGCATGTGCACAGTTGTCCGTGATTTTGATCAGCCCCTTTGTTGAGTACAGCTCTTGACAGAGACGGTCGTTCCCCCACGTGTATGACACAGCTTCGTATCGCGGGAGTTGTCGGAGGTTCACGTGGAAGATGTCGCATCCAAGCTTGTCACCAGGCGACCCGGGAAAGAGACGAAGCAACCGGAACTCGGACGCATCATTCAACTGTTGATAGCGGAAAGGGTCTTGACTTGAGGTTGGACGTATCGTCACTTTCTCGTCGGAGTCCATGTCAGCCTCGTCGGCGGGAAGTATGGTTGTTGGGGGCGTCTGGCTTACCCTGCGAACCGCAGCTGAGACAGGAACGATAGCCACCCATGTCCCGCAGATCGGGTCGCGGACACTGACAATGCTCCATTTGGCACTTTGAACAGGGCGGCAAAGCATGTGAGGAGGTTGACGAGATGGTTAAGGCTCCAACGAAAAAAAGCGGGGCGCAGCAGAATGCGGCGGAGAAGTAATTAATCCGACTGGGGTGGTACAGATAGGTCTAGTTGCAGGACGATGGCTGGCATGCACAGCCTCAGTCAGCTTCGCCAAGGAAAGACTGAAACATAGCCGTACGGCTTGTTTCCAGAAGCATTGCAACGACACTTTTACTGAATGAGCATTTAGACAAATACATTCGACCAGCGCGACAATCCCAAAATGCTGAAAACGCCTCTATCCTCTCAACTCCTCAAACCACCACAACACCAATCACGAGACAATGTAAAGTGCCCCATATCAAACCAAGCCACCACCCAAACACTTAACCCGCTCCACCCCTCCTCACTGCTCCACAAAAAAGCCCTTCGTCCCCTTCTTCAACATCATCGCCATCTCAACCAGCCGGCAAACCTTCCTCACATCCTCCACCAAGCAACCCCAGCCCACACTGCAATCCCCATACCGGCCCCTCGCCAAACACCCCACCAACCAGCAGTACTCCCCGTACAAATCCCACACGCCCCTCCCCAAACGCGCACCCAGCGCCAACTCCTCCTCCTCCTCCTCCTCCTCCTCCTCCTCCTCACCACCATCATCATCACCCGGCCCGCCGCCCCTCTTCGATCCAGCAGAAGCAGCGCCGGTAGCAGCGCCAGCAGCGACCCGCCACGCCGTCCTCTCCGCCTCTTCCACCGACGCGTCCCACCCGCCGTGCCACCTCGCCGCGTCGGCGACCCTCTCGCGCACCCGCCGCGCCGCGTCGCGCCGCCCGGACGCGTGCCATTCCAGGCGCTGGGCGCGGGCGCGGGGGACGCCGCAGCGGACGAGCGTCCTGATCGTGAGCTGCAGGAGCGGTGGTGGCGCCGAGCTGCTGGAGGGGAAGGGGGATGTGGAAGGCAGGGTGGTGGTGGTGGTGGTGGCGTTTGTCGTCGTCGTTGTTGTTGTTGTTGTTGCTTGGTGGAGGATGTGGTGGAGGGAGGTGTAGAGGGCGAGGCCGGTGGTGGAGAACTTGTCCGAGGCGATTTGGTCGCAGAGGCGGGCGTGGGCTTTGTCGTGGTGGTAGCTTGTTGTCGTGAAGGTGGTGGTGGTGGTGGTGGAGTTGTTCTTCTTGTTGGCCATGTTGTTGTTATTGTTATTGTTGTCGCCGATGGAGGCGGAGCTGGAGGCGAAGAGTGCATCCATGATGTGTGTTGTGTTTTGTGTGTTGGTTGTGGTGTAGCTAGAGTGTAGCTGAAGGGTAGCTAAAGTGTAGCTGGAGAGTAGCTGGAGAGTTGCTGAAAAGTAGCTGGAGAGTAGCTCAGAGTAGCTGAAGAGAAGTTTTTTGGTGCGTACGTAGACAAAGGCTGCTGGTGGGCATTAGCGGACTTTATAAAAGAAAGGCCAGCTGGCTTCTAACCAGCATTCGACGTTAGACTGTGAACGGGAGCTAGGATTTTCACCAGGGTCCAGGGTCTTCACCGTGGGTTAGACTTCTGACCGACCAAACTAACACCACACGGGGAAAAAAAAATACCATCCATGTGACAGGGTCCAGTCTGAACACATGTTCGGCGTCTAAACGCTCAATCGGAGCCCCGCGTGCTTTCCCATGGCGGAGTTCTTCTCATCTTGCAATAGAAAATCCACAGGCTGTCGCCTACTGAGTCATCGACGGGGCATTGGAGGTTTGAATGAGTTGGTAGTTTTTAGGTAAACGTTCTGTCACAAGCTTCGTACGGTGCTGTAAAGCGTACCATGGTTGAAGCTAGCCTTGACTGGAAAGTGGGTCTGTGGTGGTACATTTTCCGCACTTGCTCATTTGGCCACTTCCACAACGAAAAGAAATAGGCAAAGAAAAGGCCTACTGTACAAACTCGTTGAATCGGACAACTTGGAACCAGGGATTATTTGACGGTAAGCCGTTCTGCAACCAATAGTATAGCGAGAAAGAGTGGCCCATCCATTGATTGATTGGTGCAGAATCACTTACCCCGCGAATGGTCCCTGGTGCCAAGTTGTCCAATTCAACGACTTTGTACGGTATATTGGTCAAGGAGCCAGCAGTACTGGGGAGAAACCGGACCGGACCAGTGTGGTGCTCAAGACACGGTAAAAGAGATACTGTGACGTCATTGATTGGAATTTCGGGTACTACTCACAACAACTTTTCGACCTGACCTCTACACGCACACCCATCTTAAATCGGTTGAACCCTTAGACCAACCCCTCAACCTTCCACACCTTGACCGTCGCATCCCCACCCGTGCTTAGCACCTTCTCCGCGCCGGCCCCCACCCACGCCACGCCATTAACCCCCTCCTTGTGCGCATTGAGATGCTTTACCCTCTTCCCCGGATTCGCCAGACTCCAGACAAACACGTTCGTGTCCAAGCTCCCGCTCGCCGCGTACTCCTCGCTGTCGTTCCACGCGACGGCCGTGATGCGGGCCGTGTGGGCCGACCAGCGGTCCGTCACGAGCGCCCACTCGTTCTTGGCGTCGTACACCTGGATCTTGCCGCCCGTGTTGCCGACGGCGAGGTAGGAGCCCCTGGGGGAGAAGGCGAGGGTGGAGATGACCGACGTCGAGTTCTTCAGCTCGACGCCAATGTCGCGCAGCGACGTGCCGTCGAGCTCGTACACGCGCACGACGTTGTCCTCGCCGCCGACGGCCACGAGCTTGCCCGACGCGGCGATGGACGTCGGCGGGTACGGCATCGGGCGCGAGCTGGCCTCCTTGCCGTCCTTGAAGATGGACACCGAGTACGGCGAGGCCACGAGCACGACGTCGCCGCTCGTCGCCACGCCCTTGGGCTGGTAGTGCAGCTCCGTCTTGGAGCCCGCGAACGTCTTGCTGTTGGATGAGATGGTGCGGAGCGTGTCGTCCCACCCGACGCTGTACACGCGCGGCTCGCCTGCCTCGGACGACGGCGAGAAGCCGGCGACGAAGTTGCTGTGGCTTTCGCCGTCGACGTTCTCGGCGAGGCCGGTGTCGACGTCCCACGCGCGCACGCGGCCGTCGTAGCTGCCGGTGTAGAAGGTCGAGTCCTGAATGGTCGCCGAGGTGATGTTCTTGGCGTGGCCGTTGACGACGCGCGTGGGCTTGTCGCTGCCCTCGGCGAGGTAGTTCAGGTTGCCGTCCAGGTCAACCGAGATGATGGTGCCGTCGCTGCGGCCGGCGGGCCAGGTGACGCCGACCTGCTGGTCGCCAATGCTGACGACACCCTCCTCTCCCATGCGCCACGTCTGCACGGCTGATCCGGTCTCGGCATCCCATATCCTGACCGTCTGGTCGGCGCTGGCCGTCACGAAGCGCTTCGAGTCCTTGTCCCAGGACACGCCGAAGATGCTCCCAGTGTGCACGCCGTCGCCAATCTGTGTCTTGGCCTCACCCGTCTTGCCGTCGTACAGCCAAATGCGCTTGTCGGCGCCCACGGTTGCCAGGTGGGTGCCGTCGGGGCTGAAGGCGGTACCGAAGACGAACCGGTTGTGCTGGCCGCGCTGGCTGGTGTTGAACTTGAAGGGAGCGCCGTGGTAGAAGACCATGCTGGTGTCATCGCTACCGGTAGCGGCGCGGAGCGGGCGCTGCTGCCTGATGGAGACGGAGTTGATCTGGGACGAGTGGCCGGAGATCTCGCCGACGCTGTTGCCGCTGTCCCAGGTGATGCAGTGGCCGAAGCGCTCCTTGCCCTCGCCGACGGCGATGATGCGCTGCGAGTCGCCGTCCCAGGCGAGGTCGTTGATGCGGCCGGCAATGATGTGGTAGTCGCCTGTTCTGCTGGTCAGCGGCCTCCTACTTTAATGTGCAGCCGTCCGTCTCTGGAGTACCCTTTGTTGCACCCTCGCCTACGCAGTCCCAAACCTTGACTGCACCAGACGCATCTCCGCTGGCGACATAGAAGCCCGTGGGAGCGAAACGGGCGACGGTGGTCGGGGCCGTGTGCTCGGTGTACTGGCGGCTGACGGCGGGGTCGTCGATGGAGCGCACGAAGATGGATTTGCCCGACTGGTGGGCGTGAGCTCAGGATTCATTGGGGGCGGCGGGCGGGGATTGGTACCGCGTAGGCAAGGCGTTCGCCCTTGGAGTCGGAGGACAGCTGGGTCGGCTGGCCGCGAGTCGTGGTGGGTGCGGCGGCCCAGATGGCGGCTGGCGGCAGTGCGGTTAGCAGACGGCGGAACACGGTCGGGAGAGAGGGCCTACCGGAAGAGATCGACATGATTGGGGGGGTGCGAGAGGACGAGGGAAAAGAGAGGCGTGGAGATGGACGGGTTGTGGTTGACGGAGACTGGTAACGCGGGCGAGGGGCTGCCACCTGCCACGAGGTGCGGCTCGGGCCCTGGTGGGGGTGGCTCATGCGCGCGCCGCCAAATATAATGACGCCACAACTCTCCGTCCAATGCGCTTTCAGATTGTGACTTCAAATAAACTTCCATTTACCATTGCGAATCTATTTCTATATCTCGTCCTCGAACTGCCTGATGAGCAGACCCTCCTGCTGGAGATGGTCCTTGACTTGCTTCACAGTGAACTCGCCGCGGTGGAACTGCATCCCAGTTAGCTAGACAATTCGCAGTAAAAAAAATTAAAGATGTTCTCACCATTCCCGCGCCCAGCGCAGCATCCGTCGGCGTCTTCTCAAATACCTCGGCGAAGTGGCCCGGGTTGCCAGCGCCGCTGCTGGCGATGACGGGAATCTTGACCGCAGCCTTGACATCGTTGATCAGCTCGAGGTCGAAGCCGCTGTTGGAGCCGTCTTTGTCGATGCAGTTGAGCAGGATCTCGCCCGCGCCCATGGCCTCGACCGCCTGAACGAGTTGCCTGACGTCGAAGTCGCGCGTCTCGCGCCCGCCCTTGATCGTGCACTGGTACCAGCAGTATTCCTCACCGTTCGGGCCTGGGAACGCCGTCTTGATCGTGTGGTGCGTCGTGTCTTGCGGCGACGCCACGTACTTGCGCTTCGGGTCCACGCTGACGACGACGGCCTGCACGCCGTACGCCGCCGAGATGGTCTCGATGGCCGTCGTGCCAGCCAGCGTCCGCCCGCGCTCGTAGTACTCCTCGGCCGCCGTGACCGCGTCCGACCCGATGCTGACCTTGTCCGCGCCCGACTTGAAGTACAGCGACGCCACGTCGAGCGCCGAGAACTTGGTGCCGTCCGTGTCGACCGTGTCGCGGATGCCGCCGCCGATGGTGAGCGGCACGAAGACCGTCTCGGACGCGCGCCGCAGGATCTCGAGCATCGGCAGGTCCGCCACGGGACAGTTGCGGAACGATGTGATGTTGAGGAACGTCACCTCGTCGGCGCCCTGCTCGTAGTACTTGCGTGCCATCTCCACCGGCTTGCCCAGATTGCGCACCTCGCCGCCCGACCCGTCCTTCTCCCGCACGTCGTACTGGTCGCCTTTGGTGACGACGAGATCGCCCTGGTCGTTGGTCCGCACGTCCAGGCACGCTATCACCCGGCGCGTCAGCCCTTCTCGCGACGCCGCCGCCGAGGGTGTCGCCGGCAGCGCGCTGACCTTCTGCCCGCTGCAAAAAGCCTTCAGCACGCGCAGGCCCGCGGCGCCGCTCTTCTCCGGGTGAAACTGCGTCAGCAGCACATTGTCCTTTGCCAGCGCGCCCACAAACTCCTCGTTCCCGTACCGGGCAGTCGCGACGGTCCAGCCCTGGCCCTCCAGCTCGCCGGCAACGTACGGCAGCGCGTACGAGTGCACGTAGTAGTACTTGCTGTCCGGTCTCAGGCCGTAGATGCTTTCGCCGGTCGTGACTCCCTCCTCCTTCTTCGCCGACGTGTTCGCCGAATTCCAGCCAATGTGCGGCACGCTCTTGTCCGAGTCGTCGAAGCGCTTCAGTGTGCCCTTGATCAATCCCAGTCCAGGCACCGTCTCGCTCTCTTCCGAGCCGTCCAGCAGCGCCTGCAAGCCGACGCAGATGCCCATGAACGGCTTCCCCTGTGAGACGTGCTTCCGGATCGGCTCGACGTAGCCGCCGTTCGCGAATAGGGACAGGCAGTGCCCGAAGTGCCCGACGCCCGGCATGATCAGAATCTACGACGCCGCCTGTCAGCACACACGAGCAAAGCCCAGCTCTGGCGGGACTTGAGCGTACCTCTGCCTTGGGCACATCTTCCGGCGAACGGATCCACTCGACGCTGTACCCGACTTTCTCAATGGCATTGACGAGTGACCGGACGTTCCCGGCCACGTAGTCGAGCATGTGGATGGACGGCATGGCGGGCAAGTAGTGGTGGTGAGGAGCAATGGCGAAAGTTGGGCGGATTGACTCACTGCAAGGTCGCGGGGCACGCACCAGAGCGTCACTTTTTTCTTATCGATAAGCCGGCCACCCGTCCACGTCATTGCTGCATGACTGGGCCGCCACTTGGCTGCTACCCGGCGACCGTAGCCATGGAACGACGCTTACACTTGATGAGGATGGCGGGCAGACGTAAATTCGTTGGGCGCAAACGGTGGCAGAATGATATAGATGGTGGATGATTGAGCTGAAATGCCAGAGTGGCTCTGTGTCCTCTCACTCTGTAACACGTCTTGAACATCTACCATTCCGACAGTAACATGGCTTCTGCAGCAGTCCGGGGCAGTTTTATGCGTTGATAACGAACTCCGACCCGCACTATGCCTTTTGTCATCCATAAAAGATACTTAGTGAACCTGAAATAAAGAGGTCAAGAGTAGTCTGCAAAGAGTCAACCTTCTCGAAATTGGACTTCCACCATTCTGATCATTGACGGATACACATTCATCAAACAGCGGTAATGAATGCGTACAAGAAACGTTGTCAACACGTTCCTCCATATCCATCCGTGGGTAGTGTTGGAATTGTCGCATGATCGGTCTCCTTTTTTCTTGAGTTGGCATCCAGATTGCGTCGGGATCTCGGCTTGATGTTGCCAACGTATGTAGTAGTCGGCCAAATTAGGAAGTCATCGGCGAAGGATTTATTATTACGTTTTTTTTCTCAAGCGCGCTCCCCGTGCAACTGATTGGTGGGAGATGGAATAGTGAGAAGAGCAATCTCTCATCCAGAAATGGAAATGTCGGCAAAGAAGGGGGAGAAAAGGCAAGAGCGGCCATCAAGTGTGGTGGGCACTTCGGGTATTTCGTAGGAAGGACGACGGTTCGATCTGACTGGATGTGCATACCTGGCTGCCTAATGATCTGCAGCTCCTTGCGCAAAAGCCCCAGTCATCCTTTTGTCCCCACATCCGGTACATCCGGTACATCCGGTACAAGCGCTTATACTGTAGCTCGCGTAATGTTTTGGTCCAATAGGAGCTTTTTTTTACCCCATATCTTCCGGCGGATAGCTTGCGAAGGAGTCCACGACATGCCTGTCGTCGCCTATCGACAGTAGAGGTCATAATGGTCCTGAAACACCGAATCCCAACAATCATCGTGGACAGCTGCCTTGAAGACCTGCAGATTTTATGTTTGGTATGTGTCGGTATCTGACTCGGTCATCAGCCAAGCTGACCTGAGACTCGGCGTGCCCAGAACACTTGGGCTCAGGATTGGGCTCAGGCTTAGACTCAGGCTCGAGCTCCTAATACGCGTATTACTATTGTGATTGCATGGGCTCTTTTGACGTAGAACCAGCCAACGTCCAAGGCGTCACTCATCAGCCGAAAGCGGTAGGAATGTCGCAAGCGGGGTCGGACGAAAGATGCGCCGCCGGGCCCACGGGCGCAGCGGGAAGACCAGGCGTGCCGGCTCCCGCGGGGCGCAGAGGTCTAGTTTCTCTGGAGGCTGGTCCGGCGCAGTCGCCCCGCCCAATCAGGCCGTGGAGAATGCTCCACCACCAACTCCGCCTGGTCGCAACGTTCAAGGTTGCGTCAGTCGGCCGGAGGAACAGTCAGTATCATCAGCATCCCATTCTGTGGCGGGCGGACCGCGGCCGCGCCAACATGCCCGGTCCTGGTGTGGTCGTAGCCAGTGACGACTGCCGTGTTCGCCCGTAAAGTGGTTTCCCCAAAAGCGAACCGTACGTACAGCAATGATGCTTGCTACACATCCTTCCATATTGGGGTCTTGGCCCGGACGGATCCCCCGACGGAGAAGGTCGAGCCCCGCAGGTCCACATGCCTTGCAGCCCTGCATAGAAAAGGTGCTGGCCTGCCACCACTCGGGTCCGGATGATTTGTCTCTTTCGTCTCCAGACCTCTGTTTCATCTGGCCCGTGTCTTCTTCCCTCGTGTTCCATTTCTACTACTACTACTACTACTACTACAACACCACACCCGTCGCCGCACTCGGACCCTTGTTTCCAAGTGGCCAACGACAATGAAGCCCACGACCTTCCTCGGCCTCTGGGCCATCGCCGCCTACGTCCTCTACGTGGCCATCGCGGCCGTCACAAAGTCGCGACAGCGGGCGCGGCGGGCGCGCGAGCTGGGGTGCAAGCCGGCGCCGATATTCAGCGCGTGGGACGTGCTGGGGATCCAGACGGTGCGGAACCTGCTCAAGGCGGACCGGGAGAAGCGGCTGCCCGAGTACAGCGAGGAGCGGATCGCGACCGTCAGCGCGCGCGAGGGCCGGCTGGTGACGACGATGCGCCACGTCATCGCGGGCGAGGAGAGCTTCTTCACCATCGAGCCGCGCAACATCCAGGCCATCCTGGCCACGCAGTTCAAGGACTTTGAGCTGGGCGAGCGCCGCAACGGCAACTTCCAGCCGCTGCTCGGCCACGGCATCGTAAGCAGACACTCGCGCAGGAGTGGCATGGCATCTGGCTGACCGTCTTTTGTTTGTCTTGAACAGTTTGCCTCGGACGGCAAGGCGTGGGAGCACTCGCGCGCCCTCCTGCGGCCACAGTTCGGGCGCGAGCAGATCAGCGACCTCAAGCTGGAGGAGGCGCACGTGCAGAACATGCTGCGGGCGCTGCCCGTCAACCGCGAGGGCTGGACCGACATCACCGACATCCAGGTGCTCTTCTTCCGGCTGACGCTCGACTCGGCCACCGAGTTCCTCTTCGGCGAGAGCGTCGACAGCCAGCTGGCCAGCCTGCCCAACTACCGCGGCACCAAGGGCGCCGCCGACGTGCCGCCCGAGCGCGACGAGCGCATGTTCGCCTTCGCCTTCGACCGCGCCCAGTGGCACCTCGCCCGCGCCGGCCGCTTCGGCAAGAACTACTGGATCGCCCACACGGCCGACTTCAAGAAGCAGTGCCGCGACGTGCACGCCTTTGTCGACTACTTCGTCCAGCTGGCCTTGTCCAAGGACGCCTCCTCGCCTGAGAAGCGCGCCGGCGCCGGCAGGAAAGAAAAGTACGTCTTCCTCGACGCGCTGGCGGCCCAGACGCGCGACCCCGTCGCCCTGCGCGACCAGCTCCTCAACATCCTGCTCGCCGGCCGCGACACCACCGCCTCGCTGCTCTCCTGGCTCTTCCGCTTCCTCGCCCAGCACCCGCAGACCTTCGCCAAGCTCCGCGCCGTCATCGTCGCCGAATTCGGCGAGTACTCGGACTCCGACTCCAACCCGGGCGGCGACGACGGCGACATCACCTTCGCCCGCCTCAAGGGCTGCGCCTTCCTCCAGCACTGCCTCAACGAGACGCTGCGCCTGCAGCCCGTCGTGCCGCTCAACTCGCGCCGCGCCGCCGTCGACACGACGCTGCCGCTCGGCGGCGGGCCCGACGGCCGCTCGCCCGTCTTCGTCGCCGAGGGCATGGAGGTCGGCTACAGCGTGCACGTCATGCAGCGGCGGCCCGACGTGTGGGGGCCCGACGCCGCGGCGTTCCGCCCGGAGCGGTGGGAGGCGAGGCGCGTGGGCTGGGAGTACCTGCCCTTCAACGGCGGGCCCCGCATCTGCATCGGCCAGCAGTTCGCCCTCACCGAGGCGAGCTACGTCGTCGTGCGGCTGCTGCAGCGCTTCGAGGCGGTCGAGGGGTTCGGCATGGATGGGAGGACGCTGCATGGGCTGACGTTGACGAGCTGTCCGGGCGATGGCGTCAAGGTGCGGTTTAGGGAGGCGGCGAGGGCGTAGGGGAGGCGACGCGGGGTTCGTAGGCTTTTGAGATGACGCAGAATGTGTAATTATTCATCCAGTCCGTGTGGGTATATGAGCGTGACGACTCGAACTCGAACGCCCGCAGCAAAAGTGCCTACGTGTTATAGACAGCGCCGGGAAGTGCGCCCCCAGTCCATCGCCCATGATCGACTCAGCGGTGTTGGTTGTAGTGCCCCTCCAGAGCCAGTCGTCTCTGCTTGTATGGATGGCGACAGAGATGCGTGCTTCGACGACGACCGTGGCGTGGCGGGCGTGCGTGTGCGATGGTGGTTACGGTCGCGGTCGGCGGTTGGAGGCGACACTGCGCTGGGGTCGGCGGCGGCGGCGGCGAGGACGACATGGTCGAGGTCGTGGAATATCTGTCATAGCTAGCTGGCTGTATGGATGCTCACAGCTTCGACGCTCTTGTTATGATGGGTTGCGTTATGTTGCAACACGGTCGAGGTCGAGCAACGTGCATGGAAACGGCAGCGCGACGCGTCGAATCTGCATCGTGCGGTGTCGGAAATGATGAAAAGTAGCTGGCTGGCATGAGATCAGGAAGAGGGGATCGATGGCGACGCAGAGAAGGCCGGCGGGAGGACTGTTGGGGCCTGCAACAACAAAAATTTGTCGAGCGACACGGACAGATGTTACCAACGACCAACAGCACATAGCGTCCGCCTACGCAGGAGCAGAAGGTCTCAATCGACAGCATCGAAGGGCGGAGCAGAGCCGACCTAGGCCTCATCGACTAGGTGCACGATGTCCGAACCTCATCTTCCTCACGGTCCCGCACGAAGGCGAGCACAGCGTAACGAAAATGGCTGGTCTTGCCAGATGTTTTCCAAATATTCCGTACCGACCACGAAGGCCAATACAAGCGGTCAGTAGTTGTAGTTTTCAACTAGCAAAAACGTGGCATCAGACGAATCTTCACTTGCACACGTAAAGCCTCTGCACCTGGACTAATTTTTGGAAGAGGGTCGAGGGGAGGAGCGGTTTAAATACTTCTGCCCGGCCGGCTTCCGGGCTAACGTTTGCTAAGCGAGGCCTGCACGGGCCAGCCGACGCTAACCGAGTTCCGGACAAACTCCATCGCCGTACTTCCGCTCCAGGCAGCCGTGATGACAACTACGTAATAATGAGTCAGGTGCAGCTCTCACGAAACACGGTTGCGGAGCGTCTCTTCCCTCCCGGACAATCATCAATTGGGTATCAACTACCAATGGCATCAAATCTTTCTCCCCTCGTATCTAATACACGGCGCGTGCAGCCGCAGCCGTTCTTGCAACACGCTTTTGAAAAATGGGACGTCGGTGGGAGAGGCGCACTCTTGAAGTCAAGAGCGGCGCTTCAGCAATATCCACCAACATCCCCTCGAAACGAAAACAAAGTCATGTCGTAGAAGGTAAAAATCGATAGCCAATGGGCAGTTCTACAGCGAGATGGTCACGTTCAGCTCTGCCATCACAAACACTCGTCAGCAATGCATCCTCAAACGCCAACGGCAACAGCGACATCAAGTGACAGTACCCTACCTGCTCCGAAAGACTCGTCGGCACCAGCCTCCGATCCACCACCAGTCAGCGCTCCGCCGGCACCAGCCTGGCCCTGCTGCTGCTGCTGCTGCATGGCCGCAAACTTGGTGGCGGCAGGCGTGAAGGCGGCGCCGGCGGGCGCGCCCGTGCTCTGGTAGACCAGGCAGGCGGTGGGCAGGGTGGTGGCGGGCATGCTGGCGATGCTCCAGGACGTGGCGAAGCTGGGGTCGCGCACGACGGGCAGCTGGGCCTGGACGCGGAAGTCGGCGCCGGCGCCGATGTCGACGCCGGCGGCGATGTGCGTGAGGTTGGCGAAGCTGCGGTCGAAGTCGGCCTCTGCGGCGGGCGGCGCGTCGACCGGCTCGCAGTTGCTGTCGTGTTGCCCCGACGCGAGCTGCGTGATGTTGACGTTGGCGACGGGCAGGTCGAGGTAGGTGCCCGCTTCGGCGAGGAGGTCGTCGTCGAAGAGGCCGAAGGCGAGCTCGATGCGCGGCCGGAGCGCGACGTGCAGTTGCAGCTCGACGTCGGAGACGTTGGCTTGGAAGGGGATGGCGGTGAGGGTGTAGTCGTCGCTGTTTGGACGGACACGGGATTAGCGTGGGTCTGGGGAGGGGGGGAGGGGGGAATATGCTTGGGGACAACTGACAGGCCGGTCACGGTGGACGACTCGAGGTCGGTGAAGTTCAGGGCGGCGACGGCGCTGGGGATGGTCATGTTGAAGCCGTAGGACATTTGGACGCCGCCGCTCAGAGCCCAGTTGAAGGTGAGGGCGGGCTCGAACATGACGCCGGCTTTGCCGAGCTCGGGGATCCTGAAGCCGGCGGTCGGGGCGGTGAAGAGCGGAATCTGCAGGCTGCCGGACTCGGCCGGGGTGGCTTGGAGTTCGATGTAGGCGGAGAAGTTGTTCAGCGCGAGCTGGACGAAGCCCATCTTGAAGACATCGGCGACCGAGTCCATCTCGGTGATTTCTTCCATGTCGGGCCAGTCGAGCTCCCAGCCACCCTGGGTCAGGTTCAGGTTGCCCGTGACCTTGCAGTGCTTGCAGCCGATGATGAAGTGGGGGTTGGGGAGAGTCATGGCGAATCCAGCAGGCAGCGCAAACGTCGTGTTGGCGCTCTCGTGGAACAGGTTGAGCGCGACCGAGGTCTCGGAAACTTGAGAGGCGTTTCCGGCAGGGATGAGGGTCTGGTGGCTCAAGAAGCCCGTCGAAGTCGAGGTGACCACGGTCGAGGAGACGACGGTCTGGGTAGCAGTGCTGGTGGTGACGGCCTGCGAGATGGTATCCTGCCTACGCCCCATCCGACGAGGGGGGAGCTCCAGGGTAGCAGTAGCAGTAGCGGTGCCGGCGGTGGCAACCTGCGAGGTGGGATCCTGCCTACGCTTCATCTGATGACGGCGGAGCTCATGGTGCTCCTGGGAGTATCCGTAATCAATGTTGAACCGGCTGAAGGCTTGCTTCCACTGCTTCTTGGTCGTGGCGATGCTGATGGTCTTTGAGTCTTCGGAGCTCGTCACGTCGTCGACCCTGCCGTCTTGTAAGTCAGCCGAACATGGATTTCTTCTCAAGTCAAACCCACAGGAACACAGAGCGCGAGCCCTCGTCGGTGCATCCAGCATGGGAAGCAACAACGTATCCGCCTTCCAAGCGAGAGATGACGTTCTCAGCATCAGCAAAGACATCATCCTCACGGAACTCAAGCTCGATGCCCGAGCCCGTGCATTCGAGGCTGTTCAGCTGGTCTTCAATGTCCTCGAGCACGAGCACTTGCTTGTTCGACTGAGCCTGGACACGGGAGTAGAAGACGGACTTCTGGCTGTTCGTGTTGTCGCCTACGTAAATGTCAGGACAAGCCACAGTGACGAGATGAGGAAGCTTACCATCCGTGTAGAGCAAATCGACAAAAGGAGTGGTCCGGATCTTGTCGGTTCTGCGAAGGGTGTCGGAGCGCTTTGTAGCCGCCTTCAAGTCAAGCATCGGGGCCGAAGCTGCACTCCCAGCGGAGACGGCTCCATCGGGGAGGCAGGCAAGCAGCCACACGGCGCAGGACAGCAGGGTTGGCTTGGAGAAGGCCATGGTCTGAAAGAGTGACTAAGTTATAAAGAGTGACGGGCGCAAGTTCAACGAGTGACAAGCGCAAATTCAATGAGAGACGGGCGCGATCACGAAGAAAGCAGTAGGCCGCGAGCGAGCAGATATATCGCGAAACAGCATTGTGTGATTGTGGATGCAGGGCTGCGGCGTTGTCCCGAGCAAAGTATTCAGATCTGCTATGGAGTGGGGTATCTTTAATTTGGCCCCTTTCTGAGACAATGGAAACAGACCACTGCATGCACAAGGCTCAAGGGTCTCGTTGGTGTTGGCCCTGTGCCGGGTGAAGGACGGCGTCTTGGACAAAGGCAGTAGCTGAGGCAGACGGGAAGAGGTCGTGTTTGGACCCCTCACGTAGCGGCTGGGATGGAGCGGGAAGAGAGTCAAGAGTGGGCCAGCGACGCAGTCAAGAGCTTGCGGGGGTGGGCTGAAGTCTCTCTCCCTTGCGGTTGGTCAATCCGCATGACTCCTTCCGCATGGCCGCTGTGACTGCCTAACGGATGAGCACAGCCAAGAACGGGTCCATCGTGAGGGAGTCAGGAGGGTTTTGGTGTGGTCCTGTCATGCTGATCTCGGCAGCTTCGCATGCTCGGACGGTACGGGTTGGAGACGGCCGAGACAGGATGAATGGCGCAGCAGTACTTCTCGCGCGATACTGCAGCGCAGCGCGGAAGCAAGCGGAGATATGGTGGGTGGATGCTTGACAGCATCCCCTTTTCCTCACGACTCGACTGCTATAAGGCGTGCATGATCTTCGTCCGCATGGGCCAGCGCACCTATCAAAACCACGCGAGACGATCCTAACCCCGTACATGGAATTATTCCCCATTCGCCGGAAAGCCAGCCGACCGGTGTCGCAAGCGAATGCGGAGAAGGTAGCTACTACCACCTTTCGGCGATGGAACAAATCAGTGGCACCGCCGGGTTTCGAACTCGCGACGGACTGGAGCCACAGTACCTTCGCCTCGTGCCTGATGCCGCTGATGCTGCTTCACCACCTTTTTTTTTTAACCAGACTGTTACCGACCGGTAGGTAGATTAGAAAGCGAGAGAGTGGCTTTCTTTAGACATGACCTTGCCTAATCCCGTTAGCGTAGTCGGCATGGGATCGTTTATAGATGTCGTGAAGATGCTTTCTGCAACTTACGCGCATTCCACAATCAACTTGTTGTCGTTTCAAAGGAATCCAGACAATAGAAGCGTTTATAAAAGATGACGTTGGTTGACACTGTTATGTTCAAGCTGATAGGTCTTTTAAACAGTTGAAATGGTTGTCTATAAATCTACAAATCAAACAATCTTTTTTTCCTTTTGGAAAGAACAGAAAAGCAACCAACTCCTGCGCTGGAAACAATGAAGTCTAAGTATTTACAACAAAAAGCAAAAGCAGGATATCATGCCCCGAACCACGCGCCCATATATTCAATCACTCAATCCAATCAGATGGCCGATGCAGCGTTCGCGAAGCCGACCACCTCAACGGGGCCAGCAGTGTGCACAGCCCGCAGCTGCTTGAGCTTCTCCAGCTGCTCCGCACTCAGGCTCTTGAGCCCGTTCACCTTCTTGCTCGGACGCACGACCATGCGGTTGGGGCAGACGGGCTCGAAGACGACCTCGTCATCCTCCCAGTCCCACACGCCGGAGCGCTCGCGGAAGTAGTAGGGCGAGCACGCCTCGTCGTCGCGGGCGACCAAGACGTGCGTGTCGCGGACGTCCTTGCTGTGCACGGTGCTGTAGGAGCCGTCCCGGGCGACGGCGAGGCTGCTGTGCCACGGGGTGCGGGGGAACTCGCCGGTGCCGGTGACGATGAGCGGGACGCTGAGCTTGACCGCGCCGGTGCTGGGGTGGATCGACAGGCGCACGTAGTCCGGGCAGAGGTCCTGCAGGAGCTTGGTGAAGCTCTCGGCCCGCAGCATCATCTGGATCGCCCGCGCCTTCACCATCTTGCGGTACTTGTTGCCCGAGCTGGCCTCCTTGGCCACCGCGCTGTGCCGCAGGTCCGTCTCGAGGAAGCGGACGAAGCCGCAGTACGTGAGGAGCGTGTCGTTGTCGTCGCGCATCATCTCGCGGACCTCCTCCTCGGTCCGCCCGTAGCGCGTCATCAGCTCGTCGCGCGTCTGCTGCGTGAGGGAGAGGTACGTCTCCCGGTCGAGGGGCTTGCTCTCGGGGTCGGTGAAGCCGAGGATGTCCATGGCCCGGAGGAGCTTGATGTTGTCGGCGTAGCCCCTCTCGCGCACGATGGCCATGAGACCCTCGCTGTAGTTCCACGTGTCCTCGTCGGGGATGCCGACCACGTCGTCGAAGAGCAGGCCGTCGGTGGCGATGTGGATCTGGCCGCCGAGCGGGTAGACGGCCTTGATGTCCTCGCAGAGCTGGTTGAGGCGTGCGAGCGCGAGCTCCTCGCCGAGGTCGGGGAGCTTGCCCGTGACCTTGTCCGTCTGGTTGATGCTCTTCCAGGGGAAGGCAGGCAGGATCATGCGGATGGCCTGGTGCTTGGAGAGCTGCTCGAGCACCTTGCCCATGAACATGGACTTGCCGAGCCAACCCGACGAGGCCTCTTGGTCGTCGCCGTCCTTGGGCGCGAGGTGCTGTCCGTAGCGCTGGATGATGTCGAGGATGTTGCTGGCGAGCTTCTCGAGCTCTTCGGCGCTGGGCTCCTCCTCGGGAGTGGCGATGCCCGAATCGGGGAAGGCGCCGATGGCCTTGGGGACCTTGAGCTCCTCACGGGCCTCGGCCACGGCCGACTCGACCTCAGACACCTGCTCCTCCCACTGAGAGAAGAAGTTCAGGCCAGCGGGCAGAGAGAAGGAGGGCCTGCTGCCGAGGGCGGAGACGACGAGCTTCTGCATCTGGGCAAGGCTCTGGAGCTGGGACTCGATGGAGACAATGCGGGCTTCCATTTTTGCTGATGTGGGCGGTGAAGATAAAAGACCGAAAGCGGTAGTCGTGTTGTTGAAAGAGAGGCTGGAGTGGATGGTGATGGTGTGTATTGTTGAAGACCGTGGAAGGTTGAGTGAGTGTGTGTGTGTGATGAAGCTGGTTGCTGATGGATCTCAAAGGGACTGAGAGCATGCACGTTATATACATTGAAAGAGGCTTTACGGTTGTCACCCAAATTGTATGCTACTCTACTACAACCCTCACGTACTGCTTGGTGTTCTCAGGAACGCAACATTGTCTGCTCGCTGAGGCAACATGGTGGAGTGCACCGTAACATCTGCCTGGCAGCCAGACGACCAATCAGATTCAAGCACCATCCAGCTGCGTCCCTTCCCCAGATTTCAGCTTTTGGCGGGTAGCATTGTGGCGTCTCGTGGGGCTGTTCCAGGCAATCTTGTCCCCCAGAAATAGCAACCACAGTACCCGCAACGGTCGGCTAGAGCTGCGCCACGGAGAACTCCATCATCCACATGTATGGAACACCACGCACGTTAGAGCTTGAGTTTAGTGGATGCAGGGTCTTTGGCGTGCGAGCCATCGGGTCTGCGGTACGCCGTCTCGCCGCCATCCTCTCAGCTCCCCCGGCGATCACCTTTGCTACTGCCCTACCGCCCGCCACACGCGGAGCTAACCCTCAATAAGCCCTCGAGGTGCCTTGGTCCGGTTGCTTGGCTGCACTACTGTAGGCAAGTCCCGCGTGCCTCATCAGCGTGCTCTGCGAGCTGAAAGGGAAGTTCCACTGCCCAATTCTGCCATCACGGAATGAGCATGGGGAAAGCGGCCTTGCGTTTGCTACGGCCAAGCCACTCTGTAAGCGGCGGATGGCCTCTACAACGTTATTTCTCCCAATGTTGCATCTCCTACGCCCGTGCTCAGGGTTGCATGAAACGGCGACCAAGGCACCATGTCACAACTCCATCAAGAATCAATAGTCACAGACATGTCGTATCAGAAGTCATGTTGCAGGCGCGATGGGTGGGTGGAATATAATGAGCATCTCGCGCCTTTCAATCTGCTGCCATCGCTTGAGCTCTGCAACAGCCCTCCCCCAGGTCTTCTCATCCCCACCATGTCTACGCAAACTCCTCCCACTTCTACGCCCTGCGCGTCAGGCCCACCTTCAACTCTTTCGGGGGACAAGAGCGGATCCCAGGAGAGCCTTCACGACTCCACGCAGCAGCCAGGGGTACAGCTCAACGGCGGCTTCGTGGCATGGTCGCAGGTGCTCGTGAGCCACCTCATCGTCATCAACGGATTCGGCTACTTCTCCTCTTTCGCTCTCTTCCAAGCGCACTGGACGACGACGCTCTCAAAGAATGCCTCGGAGATCTCCTGGGTGGGATCGATCTCCCTCTTCCTCCTCTTCTTCCTTGGTACGCTATCCGGAAAGGCCATGGACGCCGGCCATTTCCGGTCCCTCCTCATACTCGGCTGCTCGTTCCAGATCGTGGCCGTCTTCAGCACCTCGTTCGTCACGCAGTACTGGCAACTCCTCCTCTCGCAGGGCGTCGCCCAGGGAATCGGCAACGGCCTGCTCTTCACGCCCTGCGTCGCTCTCGTGTCGACATATTTCACAAAGTTTCGTGCTTTCGCGCTTAGCCTCGCCGCATGCGGCGCACCCGTCGGCGGCATCGTCTTCCCCGTCCTCAGCCGCCAGCTCGCCCCCCGCATCGGGTACCCCTGGGCAATCCGGATCATGGGATTCGTCATCCTCTTCAACTGCGTCGTCATCGTCTTGCTCGCGCGCCCTCGGAGCTTCACCCAGCGCAAAGGGCAGCCGCTCATCGACGTGCACGCGTTCAAGGAACCGACCTACCTCCTCTTCGCAGTCGGCATCTTCTTCACGCTGTGGGGCGTGTACATCGCCTACTTCTACACCACCACCTTCGGCCGCAACGTCATCCACATCTCCGAAGCCCAGTCCCTCACCCTCCTGATGATCCTCAACGGCGTCGGCATCCCCGGCCGCCTCATCCCCGCGTACGTGGCGGACAGGCGCTTCGGCAGCTTCACCACGCTCCTGCCGTTCGTCGGCGGCGCGGCCGTCATGCTGTTCGGCTGGATCGGCGTGCGCAGCGAGGGCGCCTTCTACGCGTTCGTGATCCTGTACGGCATCTGCTCGAACGCGGTGCAGACGCTGTTCCCGTCGGCCCTGTCGCAGCTGACCACGGACCTGTCCAAGATGGCGTCCCGCGTCGGCATGGTGTTCACCGTCGGCAGCTTCGCTTGCTTGACCGGCCCGCCCATTGCCGGTGCCTTGATAGATGTCGGCGAGGGTGACTACCTGTATGCGCAGCTGTTTGGCGGTTGCTCCGTCGTTTTGGGCCTCGCGTTTCTCAGTGCTGCGAGGTGGTGTCAGCGGCAGGAGCGGAGGCGTGTCCAGGAGCAAGACTGCTGCTGAGTATCGTGGGAAAGGTTCGCGAGATACCCGGTACCGGATATCACGCAGAATGCGTGGTTGAAGCCTCAGTGGGTGTGGCATCGTATTCAAGGAAAAGCTTAATAGATTAGGGATTTCGAAATATTTTAGGCGTTTATGGGGGAAAAACTTCTAGACTGGGTAACTTTAGATGGTTAGATAGATGATAGACCGTCACGAATCGAGCGTTATCGCCGCAAAAGTATACAATCCGTGTCATTAAATAGTGCAAGGCCCTATGCCCACACTGAACTGTACGACGCGTCGGTATGTTTCGTGCATTGAATCACTTGAATCACTTACTTTTCGGCCAATGAAATTCAGTCTGCAACTCTAGCCCCCAAATCGGGTAACTACTTCCTTAGCGTCCCGGCGGCCCGCCCCCTCGCGTCCCGAGCCGTGTGCCCGCCCGCCGGGTGCTTCTGCTGCGTCCCCGCACATGTAGTACATCCACGAGCGCCAGCTATTCATCTCTTCCACACCTCCACCACTCCTCCATGACCAGCAGCATCTACCACCTCCCACAGCCCGTCCAAGATGCACACATCGCCGCATCTTTCCATCCAGCCCACAGACCGAAGCGGGCATCGACCGACACCGTGCCGCCACCGTCGGAAGCCGAGTGCAGCAGTCGGGCTTCTGCGCCTTCCTCGTGGCACTGGAGAGCAGGGATCGGGGGCGCGAGGACGCCGTGTTGCTGGTGAGAGCGGAGCCGGACGTCGCGGCGCTGAGGGCGCTGATGGGGGAAGGCGCCTGCAGATGACGAGGGCGCCGCCGTTGGGATCGGCGACGGAAGTTCTCGTGGGAAGACCGCCAGGGATGGAAGTGGTGGCGAAGCGGCTGTCCGGGGTCTTGTAGATGTGGTGTGTGGACGTGGTGATGCCACACGGAGTGTTTTTGGAACATGCCATGACGATATGGAGTATTATTAGTAGAGACGGCTTTTTGCCACCCGCCGGCGAGGTCGCCCTGTTGGTGTTGTTTTTGTTTCAGTTGGTTTCTTTAGGATAAGGGAATGAGCGTCTTGCAATGTGGGTCAAGGCGTCAAGGTCCGGATGGGGGCTGTTGTCTAGGCTGTTGGCACGGCCCCCGTCCCCGACGATCGCGGCACAGTGCTAACAACCACGGCAGAGCCAACGCGAATCGCGGGCAGTCGACTTTGATCCGGCTCGCATGATTGCCGGCTTTCCCTTCATCTGCTTACAAAAGAAAAATGAAACGAGCAGGGTGGTGTTGGTTCGCGACTCGCAGTTGGCTGAACGTAGATCATCCGCAGTCCAGGAGCACCTCGGCCGTGGACAGGAAGCCCATGTCGTAGTAGACCTTGCCCATGCGGCACGCCGTCGACGTCTTGCCCGTGCCAGGCGGTCCGCGGAACAGGAAGGAGAAGGGGATGTGCTCCTTGAGATCCATGTCCAGCGCGCGCATGTTGGCGACGGTGGTCTGGTAGCCTTGCAGAGCATCAGCTCAAGTGGAGCCGCTCCATAATTCCTACATATCTTGTGCTGATCCGCGCCGCAGACCCTTCACGATGCTCAGCTCGAGCAGCGGCACAACCATGCCACAAACAAACTCTAAAGAAAGAATACTCGTCTGCATACTTAAAAGATGACCGCCTTCTACGCAACACAATACCATCAAACTCAACAACCTCGACAAAGCCACCAGTACCAGCCCGTTCCTGTCTGAGCACGTCTTCGCTTTCAATCCAATTTGAATCCACAACGCCTCAAGATGCACGCCTTCCAGAGCCTCTGTTACATGCTGTTTGCCGTCAGCGCAATGTCAGCACCTTTCAACCAAACCGAGGCTCAAGGCGTCAACCCCCAGAACACGGTAAGAACTTACGGCAAAGAACCCCCAAAGCCCGACTCCAGCTAACCCGCACGCACCCAGACCGTGACCTGCAAGACCGCCGGCGGCAACATCCGCATCAACCTCAACAAGGCCGAAGGCAACATCCACGCGGCGCCCCGGGGCGACCACGACACGAAGAGCGGCTACCCGCACGAACTCAAGAACGGCGACGGCGCCATCAGGACGTGGCCCAACAGGAAGTGCAACGACAAGCACGCCGAGCTGCTCGAGTTCCCCGTCTTCCCCGACGGCCACCTCTTCCCCTTCGACCAGGAAATGAAGCCCGCCGACAAGTCGTCGCTGCTGACCGGCAGTGCGCGCGCCGTCTACACTCACCCCGGCAAGGACTTTTGTGGCGTCGTGGCGCACACGGAGAAGGACAACAAGGGCCCGTTTGCTCTCTGCGAGTGAAGAGTGAGGGGCTAGCCCTTTGCGGTCTGCGTCCGTGCTGAGTGTTGGATAGGGCAGGGGCCGAGTCTTTTGGTTCTCCGGGTACTGGCGTTGGGGTTTGGTTGGAGGTCGCTCGTTGTACGGGCCGCTGTTTTTGCATATACGCAGTTGCAATCTGGATGAATGAATGAATACGAGGATAAGATTTACTATGAATACGGGATATTGCTCCTTTCGTGTTGCTCTGGTGCGCTGTTTTGAGTTGGGCCCGCAGTCGTGTAGACGTAGATGTTCTCGGCGTCGCAGACATCCTGGACAACGGTGTCTTTTACGCTTCAACCACCTTGTTCTCGTTCTCGCCGTGGCTTTTCTTAGTCGTGCTACCTTTTCCGAGAGATCAGTCTGTCCGATAGTAGAACTCATCTTCTGTTTTACCTCCATCCAAATTTTCCGAATTGTCTGCCCACGTTGGAAGACCTGCGAATCATCGGGGTCGAAGTCGAAGTCATTGCTTGATGACAGCCTGCTGAAAAGGGAAGCTTCATTCGCATCCATCTGACCCAATGATACTGTGGGTTCGTGATGTCATTCATCGGTAGTAGACATCCCACCGCATGTAAGTTCGTCCAAGTGTTGCACAACCCCCAGTGGGCTTTCAAAGGGTTGCGCAACGAGCTGCATGTGCCAGTCGGCTCCAACTCCGCTCTTTTCCACACCATCTTCCTGCTTCCGGCACAGCCACGAGAAAATCAGTCGACTGTTTCCGAGGTTCTACTGCACCTGACTCAACGGTATGTAAACAGGGGTATCTTTGACGTCTCTCAACGATCTCTTTCGCAAGCAGAACAGGAGAACGGGTAGCGCGTGGTCCTGAGAGCTCACCAGGCCACCTTGGCACGTTACACGTACATCTCCTTCTGATCAGCAAGATTCCAGCCTTGGACGATGCCGCAATCAGATTGGCGCAGCAGGCAAGGCTGTTGCAATTACAACCTAAAGGTGTGGATGTGCCGAGGCCCACAAGTCCACCCCACCTTCGATGCGACGACGACGACGACGCTTGGCCTGATACCATCAGGCTCCAGCGTTAATATGCGGGACGGTGGGCAGTGCGTGCGGCTCCTTTGACCGTTTCCCCGCGCGGCAGGGCCACGGATGCATTACGCACCCGCACTTCAGGCGGCCAAGGTGTCACACATTCACGAGTCAATCGTCCTGATCCGGACTGGAGTGCGAAGAAGGCTTGGAAGCAGCGGGTTCGATGAAAAGAGGCCGTCCGGCCTGGACTAGGTTGTGATGATTAAATGTCTGTCTACATAGAATAGAATTTCAAGTACCCCGCCTCCTTGCGGCTCGCCTGGCCGCCGATGCGCACAGCGTCTCAGCCTGGTGGTCACCGGAGGTAGCCCCGCGGCGCGACGCGGCTCCGTACCCTCGACCTCAAGCATCTGGAGGGCCGAGACCGTCTCTCAGATGGCAGGAGCCGGTCTGCAGGGCCCGCCTCCTGGGCCCGATGTAGGCGGGGCGTTGACGAGTGTCGACCTCGAGCGCAGCGGCGCCGATGGCTTGCCTTCTTTGGGAGGACGACATTGACGCCGCTTTTTTGAGCTAGGGCTGACAGCAGCTACAATATGCGGTCTCGCCACAGCAGGTCTGGGGTTTGTGATTAGAGTTCAACAATGAAAGTGTTCCAGTAATTGCAACAAGATCAAAGGAAAGACGTTGCTCCGCTCTCACACCCATTCCTTCACCTCGTACCTGACGTCCGACACGTCCAGGCTCCGCTTGTCGTCGATGGGCGACTTGCATTCCCAGGAGAGGTGCTTCATTTTCTCCTCGAAGATGGCGATCGACTCGCGCCTCTCGACTTCGTTCTTCTCGTCGGAAAGCGTCGAAGTCTCGGAGAAGGGGAGGATGTTCTTCTGGTCCTCTTGGGTCTTCCGCATGCCCCACCGCCTGTAGATGAAGTCGATGATGGGCACGGAGAAGCCGTGGATGACGATGGAGAAGAGCACGATCCAGAAGACGACTGGTCCACGTCAGCAACTTGGAATCAGGCGGGGCACGGTGGAACCGGCTGCTTACTGGGTATCAGAGAGGCGATGAGAGTGTTCTCCTGGGCGTCGCCTTCGCCAAGCTCGGGGAAGTGCTTGCGGGTGCGTTCGGCGAGGTAGATGGCACCGATGCCTACAGAGCCTGTGCCACCAAACGTCAGCTGCGACATGCACGCGCGGCGCGAAAGGGAGGGTGGTGGCTTACCGATCGGCCCCATGTATCCCAGGACCAGGGCCTCTCTGGGGTTCGCACTCTCCTTGGGAAGCATCTTGTAAGAGAGCAGGGTGGCTGGGATCCTGCGAACCAGCAGAACGGCAAAGCCCAGGGCGAAGAGACGCGGGTAGGTGACGGCCGGGTGGTTGAACTGGTCCCACGGCATGATGGAGCCCACGTAGAGGAAGGCGCCGATGTTGAGGAGGAAGCCGATGGTGGGGTTGACGGCATCGCGTTCCTCGTTGCATGCCTCCTGGTAGAGGCCGTTCCAGTTGAGGGCGTTGCCGGCCGCGAAGCAAGCAAGAAGCTCCTCGGTGTCGATGGCGGCAGCGGTGCCGACGATGAAGAGCTGCGATGGGGTTTGGTCAGGTCGGGGGGAAGTGATGATGCGGGCGGGCAAGACTTACGCCGATGGCTGTGGGGAACAGAAAGAGGCTCTCGATGTCGATCCAACGCCTTCTCACGGCCAGCTTGAGGGCCATGCAGCTCGCGTAGCCGACGACGGCGCCGTAGACGATGCCGAAAATGATGGTGTAGAGCATGGTGTCGAGGACCCATACTTTCAGGGCCTCGGGCACGCCGCCTTCTATGCGCTCAATCTCGGCATGCTGCTCGCCCTCGGTATGGTCAGCCATACGGATCAGGACGGTGGCCAGCATGAGCGAGGGGAACGAGAAGCTGTCGTTGGCGCCGGCTTCGGACGTCATCATGTCGCGGAGGTGACGGGGAATGTGCTCCTCGGCGAAGGCGCCCTTGGCCAGGGCCTGCGACAGGATGGGATCGGTGCAGGCGAGGCATGCGCCGATGACGAGGCTGCTGAGCTGCGAGCGGCGGTCAGCGACGTGGCAGTGGACAAGGTGGGACAAGGTGTTTTACCAGAGTGAGGTTCGGGACGATTGCGAAGATGCACATGGAGGTGGCAAGCCACATGATGGTCATGACGGGCAGCGTTCCGATCAGCTTCTCCTTCCACCGCAGCATCTGGTACTTGGCGGGCAGCTGGAAGCCGACGATGACGAGCTGGATGCCGATGGCGATTCGGCAGACGTCCTGGGTCGGAATCAGCACGGTGGCTCGGGCAACGGCACGGCGGCGGAGACTCACCAGAGTCATCTCTCTGATCTCATCGGGCTCGCCCGAGACCCAGCGGGTGGGATCTATCAGGTTGGCAGCCTTGGGGCCCAGGATGACGCCCATGAGGGTTGCGGGCAGGGCTTCTCCGAGGTACCAGCATTTCTTGATCTTGTGGGAAATCACACCGAAAACAATTAAGAAGGCGCCAACAGCGGACAGAACAATGTTCAGCTCACTAAGCTCGAGTTGAGGCATGGCGCCAAGACGAAGTGAAGCGGAAGGATTGGACGGTAGCAAACGCCACCAGGAACTCGGCCAGCGAGTCGGGGGAGGGAGACAGGAGAGATTAAGGAGAGTGCCGAAAGCGGAAGGATCACAAGAGAGTGTTGGATCAGGGAGGCGAAAGCGACTACACGGGCATGGCGAGCAGGGCGCGCGGGCGAGCAGCTTGTATAGCTGGATGGGGTGTGGGCAGTGCCCGGGATGGTGTCATAAGGCGCTGCTACTTGAGGCGCCGGATCGCCGGCTCTCCTGCATTCGGAAACGCGCGCTAGCAAGAAGATGCTGATCAGCCGTATTAAATTGAGAGGCGATTGGCCCACGGGCGATTTGAGTCTGGCGTGATTGGCAGACCGCCATCTTTTGCCTAAGCTTTAGCCAAGCCTGAAACGACTGTGTCTCTGTTTCGGCGTTTCGCCTGGCCATCCCCTATCGGTGCTCACCACGCCGCTCGTATCCAATCACTGCGCCCGTCTTTGCTCAGCGCCCGCCCAGAGCCAATAAATACGTCGACTCGCCGCTGCCCCCGCGCAGAGCCCGCTGCCCGCTAGGTCCTCTGCGAACACGACCGGCCCGGCCACGGCCACTCGTGCACAGCCCCGCCCGGTCTTGAGGCCCCCCGCCAGCGCATGGCAAAAGCGATCATCGCGATTCTTGGCATGGTGTTGCAGCTTCCCAATCGCCCCGAGGCCCACTGAGTTTCAGACGAGCTGGACTCTTGATGCACCCTTCGCCAGCACCGAATCTCTCGAGACCCCGATCGCCAGGCACAGCCTGCGCACGCACCGCCCCTGACGCGCCCAAGCTTTCGCGCCTCGTCATGCCCTTCCCGCCGTCGCCCTCGCGCCTCCCTCGCGCCCCCTCGCGCCGCCGCCGCCGCCGCCGCCCGCCCGCCCGACGCCAGGCCTCCCGACTCTGTCCGCGACACATGCGCGCTTGAAACAGCGACAGCCCTGCAGGAACCCCAAATTGGGATGCGCGGCGCAAGACGCTGCTGCCACATGGACCCTGTTGCTCCCGAATCAGGATAGGCTGCAAGCGAAATAAGAGTATTGGCCTCCATGCTCCTCTGTCCGCATCACCACTTCTCGGCCCCAGCCCCATCCGCCGCTAGCCTGACAAATCGTCTGGGGGTTTCTATTTGCGTCCTGGACGCTCCATTCTCCCCCGGACCCGGCCGCATCAGACACGCCGCGTCCCTTGTCGTCGTCGCGCCACCACCGCGTATAACCCCATTTCTCATCCTCGACACGCCGGCACTCCCTCGACAAACTCACGGCAGCCTTGTTTCCGACGGCCCGCAGACGCATGCATGCAGCACCCCGTCAGCCGCAAACCGTGGCCGACGCAAGGCACCCGCCAGCAACCAGGTGGAGCCCGGGCGAGGGGGACACGTAACCCGCCACGTGCAGCACGTCGGTGAATGAATGTACTACTGTCCTCCGCAGCTGCGACGGTGCTTCCTTCTGCCGCGCGCCTGTGGACACTCATCAGCCATCACATGCGACGGACGCACTTCGGTGGCTTTTTCTTTCGAACCGCGTGCAAGACAGACGCGCGTCTTGGACACGTCGAGCTGGTTGCCGTGCTCGTACGTGCCCGAGGACCGAGGGGGGAAAGAGATGTTGGCGCTGGGGCGGGCTTGCTTCCTGGGTGATGGCCGACGCGCCGATTGCGAAGGTGGGGGTTCAGATGGGAACCTCTGCTCTGCGTGAGAAGGAGCTCCCACATGGCTTTCGGGCGACGGAGGATGCGGCAGGAGCGTTGCGTGCGAAGGCATGGTCAGCCACCTTCTACTGCACTGAATCGCCCGACGTCCGATTCTTTTTACATTTTGATGCTCATGCAACTGCACGCCGATTGTCATCTCAACATCACCAGAAGACGTCAGCATGCGTAGGATACGCTGACTCACTACCCAGCTCACGTCTACAACACACTCCACGGCTGGCAGCGACGTCCTCAACGCTCTGACAAGATCGATGTTTATATTTACCGTCATCGCTATACTCGTCTCCACATGGCCTAGCGGCATCCCTTTCTGGCAATGTAACGATCGGCAGCTAAGCAAAGATTTGCCTAGGCTGTCGTTCATCTCTCGAGTCTTAGTGGCTCGTCACCGGAATCTCTGCGCTAACTGATCTGCACACTTTAACACCAAATGAACAAGTCCTACCTAGGTATTCATCTATAAACCCTTGAGCTAACCTTCCCTATCTTTTCCCTATAGATCGTCCGAGCTGGAACGTAACTCCAAGTGACACTCGTAAACCGCCGCGCACGAACGCGAACCAACAAACACCAACCGCCCGCTACACACCCAGTCCCCCCTCCACCCTCCTAGCCAGCAGAAGAAGAAACCCCAGGACCCTTCTTATGCTGCTGCTGCCGCGGCGGCGTGCTAGCCGGCAGCTCTTGCAGCGAATGTCCCGGAAGCTCCTTTGGCCCTTCCCCATCAGCCTCCAATTCCGCCCGCGGAGGACCAAGGGACCGCATTCCACGACTCATCCGCCGCCGCTTCCTGCGAAGCAGCAACGCACCGATGGCGGCGGCGAGGACGAGCAGACCGCCGACGCCGACGCCGACGCCGATCCCGGCTTTGGCGCCGGTGCCGAGCTGGCCCGACGAGTCTGATGGCGCTTGCGTTTGCGTTTGCGCGGACGCAGAAGAAGAGGTAGTCGATGATGATGATGCCGGCGAGGGTGATGCGGATGCGGATGCCGAAGCGGAAGCGGAACCCGAAGCGGCAGTCGTCGAAGTGTCGATCGGCCAGGCCGGATCCGTGGACGCTCGGCGGACGATGGGGCCGAAGGCGAAGGCCTCGCCCCCGGGAGCGATCTGGATCGTCGTCGTGCCCGTCACGATGGTCGGCGAGGTGATGGCGTAGCTGCCGATGGCGAGGCGCGTGCTCGCCGTGAAGGTGGTGACGCAGCCGAGGGCGAACTTGGTGCTCGTGCCGCGGTCCGGGCGGCAGTCCCAGCCACTGCGGATGTGTGAATGGGGTGGAATGTGTGAGCCGTGGACTGGGGGAGTCGGATGTGTTGGGCAATGTGGGGTGGGGGGGGGGG